TTCTATGATTCTATGATTCTATAAGAAAGCTATATTCAAAATAACTAATGGGAAAGTATAAATGTACAGGTTTTTTTATCTGTCCCGTTCAACAGGTGAGATCTCTCCCTTTCTGTAATAAAATGGGGTAATGTTAATTACTGTTGTACTGTTACCTTCGTGGATGGCTCAACAATAATAAAAGCTGCAGCTACTGCGTGTTTGAAAATATTTGTTCAAAAGAAGGTGTTCGGATGTTGGAACTGAAGCTTAACCTTCCACGGGGACCCTACAATTTTAGCTCTGCGTGTTTCCATCTTCATTCTGAAACTCTTTAGTACTATTGGAAGTTAAGCAGAATGACTTAACTTCAGGTGCTCTTTTCTTTAAGCAAACAAACCTCTATCACCTGTTTATCAGGGACAGCAGAGCACCCTAAGGCACATGTGGTAGGTCTGAGGGTTTTTTTGAATTGAGTAAGGGTGAGGAAGTGCAGCTCCCTCACAACTGCAGGAAGGAGTCTGAGTCTAGCTCACCTATTCTCAACTGATAATCCTATCAGTGTCTAGGAAAAGGGTGAAGCCTCTTGACCACTACTTCCTGCCCTCTGAACAGTGCACTTTTATGTGATGTGGCACAAGATTAAACCTTAGTGGATAGCAAGGGAAAAAAAAAAAATCGTCATACTCTTTAATGGCCTGTTAGGATTTGTGTATGGTATGCAAAAGTGTCCCATCTGAGTAACACAGTGACAGTAGTAGATACGTACAAGCTCAACGTAGACTGTAGGTTGCTCCTATGTAGATTGTGTCTTGTGAATAAAGGACTGGAGCAGACAAAAGCTAGAAAATGGCATGAGCATGCTTTGAGGTGAATAATTAAAACTTATTTTAAATAGCCAAGTCAAAGAATTTTTTGTGATGGTGAGGAGAGTGGAGTAATAGCACTATAGCTCAGTTAGTATGGACATGGGACTACTACGTGGAAGGGTTGCAGCTTTCCACAGTGAATGCTTAGCTCAGCTGAGCACACCCTGTTCCCAGTGAACTCAGGCTCTTCTTGTATATTTTCTAGTGTACCTGGAAGATGCACTGATTGTATTCTTGTAGCCTCACTGTGCTCAGTTGTGAAAATTGCTTCAGTATGTAAACTTAGTGCAAGAACTAAGTAATGAAAAAAGAGACCAACAGAAGTAGAGTTTTGTACATATAATTTAAAACTATTCTGTACCAGTACAATATATTAATTTTACAAATGTGAAGTTCATCAATTGTTAAAGCATTTGCAAAACGACATATCCTACCGTAACTTTATTGCACAGTATCTATGAAAATATTAATTCTTAAATTAGAAAACAAATGTTTCAATATAGAAGAGACAATCTGATTGAAAGACGGTAAGAAAATCTACTCTGAAAATAACAAAATTTCACAGGATACCAAGCTTAACAGGTGCATCTGGAGGCCCAATCTACAAAACAGGATTATAGCATCCAGTACTTGCTATTTAAAAAAAAAAAAAAAAGTACTCACTGTACCTTTGTTATAGATCCAAATGTAGGTCAGACTAATCTCATACTAAACACTAGGGCAAGTCTAGCGTTAACATTTTGAATACCTTGTGTACCACATTTACTACTTCCAGGTAGTTCCTGCCATCTACTTGCTGAATCGACTCATAATCTAACATTGCACAGTCATTTTGCAGGAATATATTCTTTGACACAGCACAGGATTTGGGGTTTTTTTCAGTCTTATAACTATTGAATTTTACCAGTGTAACATTTGTAAATATAAAACACCAAGAATGAAAGTTAAATCTGTTTTTCACAAAAGCAACTATAATTTAAAAATTCTAATTAGAAAATGTCAAGTGACAACGTTTTGGCCTGTGCTGATCTCCATTAGGTTAGGTGTACCTCTTAAGTGTAGTGTAAGCAGCAAAATATATATATTATATAGATATATTATATATATATCTATAAGTACTCAATTTGAAGATATACTAATGTGAGTTGTAACATGTTAATATGTTCCTGGGTCTAAATAATCACAGTTAATATGTGTTTACAGTAAAGCTTGGTAGAAAATCCAGTTTACCACAGAGCCAAGTATATAAGCTAGAAGCTGTCACGTCGACTTCTTTTGTGTACAATGGTCTCTATTCTCTAAAGAATGTATTCTCTAAAGAATTTATCAGTGAAGTGTAGTAAATAGGGTAGGTCATGAAGTGCATCAAAACCTTAACTCCACTAAGCCAATTGAAATTTTCTAGTACATGTGAATCGCATTCTCTCAAGTTACTTTGGGTACTTATGTCCTGCATAAGCCAAGTCACTATGACATTACAAATCTAGCCAGATTTTTTTAAATAGTGGTTATGAGATTACTATTTGCAAGTAAAATATTTATCAAAACCCAAAATGAATAAAAAAACTTGCATCTATCAAAGATTACAGGCAGTTCTTTTTCAGAACTGGCTGCTCTTCTCTCACAGCTTCTCAACCAGCTGTTTCTTTTAAAAAATAATATCTTATAAAAAGACTCTACAAAGAAACAAGTGTTTCAGAACTCCCCCAACTGTTGTTTTCCCTTACTGTTTTCTTTTTTACTGGACAAAAATAATAAAACCTTTATCAAATAGGTACTGCATTAGGTAAGCTATAACATCTGTTGTCTGGGAATCTTCTTCATATTCCCAAACATGTGCAATTTCCCACACGTTTTGTGGGGTTTCTGAGGCTGTAGCTGATAAACTTATTATGAATATACGGTAATGGGCACATAAAATAAATTTTCCGTAATTAAATACATTATAAAGTATTTTAATAAAATAATGTTTGTAACTTCAGTATAATACACGTTTGCAAAACTAAAAGGGTCTTTAAAAGTGCTAAGTATTAAACAGAAGTTTCTTGAAACCTTACAAGTCCCACAACGCAGACGTATAATGGCTTCCCCTGTCCATAAAATAGGCACACTGTTTGGTTGTAAAAAAGACAGTGTCACTTGTCAATTAATCCAGCTTCTTTAATTTTTGTGTAGAAGAATTTCTCCAGTATATTGGCACATTTGTAGTATTCACTCTCGGGGGGGTTGTACTCTCTGCAATTTGTAAAGACTCGCTGCAAGTCTGCCATGAATAATTTCTTAGACACGTAGTACCTATTCTTGAGTCGCTCACTCATTGTTTTGAGATCTGTACAGGAGAAAAATAGATTAACAGCATTTTATTCAAATACTTTTTGTATGCAATATCCCTTTAGACTCATTTGCCATTTAACATGAACTGGCAAAGGTGGGATTTGAGATTCCTAATTGCATTCATGTAAGGCACAGTCCCTTTTTCAGTTTGAACAGCAACTGAGCTTCTGGAACTAAGAAATATTTCCCTGTAAGAATGATTTTGTGTAGAGTTTATTTTTTCTTCTTTAAAAGATGAAAGCATTGTTCTTTTGTGTTCTCATACTTCTCTGAGTTTTCAGTGGGTATCAGATGTCCCTGACTCCCCCCTAACTGTTCTGTGATGCAAAGCTGTTGTCAGCTCACTGGAGGAGGCCTTAGAGTGTATAAGCAAAGATCACAAAAGATGTATGTTAACCTAAAATCCTCACTTCTGTGTGAACACAGCAGAGAGGAGACATCTGTCTAGACTACAAGTAGTACTTGCAGCTTTGAAAAAAAGATTAAATTTCTTCCACACTCTACATATATTTTAATTACGTCTTCAAAGTTTATAGTTACGTATCCCTTCTTAAGAGTCATGCGAGAACAGATACAAAAACCTTACTTACAGAACATTCTTTAAGAAATGTTTTCCTTTATACTAAAATCAATCATCCATAAAATACATAAATCATCTCACTGTTCTCCACACAGTCACTTTCCCAGTAATTCTTACCAGGCATTTAAAAATTTTGTCTACAAGTGTTCTAGGAGTAAGTACAGGAATAGAAGTAGTGGGAGGTGTGCTTGATGCCTTGGCTTTTCTCACTTCAGATACTCCAAGAACAATTTTTTGAGCAATCTTTGAGCCAGGCTTCAGCAACACCTTTGTGAAACCATAACAGAAACAGCTGAAATGGAGAAGACTTAAGCCAACAAGTATTACAAGGAAAGCAGAGACCAAGGACCTCCAATGCAAAGGAATTAAACCCTAAAGCTTAAGATTTAAAAATATGGCTGTGGGTATTGTGGGCTTGGTTTGGGTTTTGAAGGGATTTTTTGGTTTTGGGTTTGCTGTCGTTTTTGTTTTGGGTTTTTTTTTTTTTTTTTTAAGGGAGATTTGACTGGCAAAATAGAGAAAAACCCTGTCAAATTGACAAGAAGGGATTACTTAAGAAAAGTTTGATGGATGCTCCCAATACCTCTTTCCAATGATATATAACTTGCCATCTGCTAGTGCTGCACAATATTTTGCAAAAGCAAAGGCTCATTCTGCTCCCAATAAGTCTGAAATTTAGGTGCCTACATCTAAACAAGAGATCCATAGTCTGATTACAGTATCCAACTGAGAAGGCCGTTCAGCTCACCCTAAAGCAAACATTGCCTGGCTGGTCAGTTAAACTGTTCTCCTCTAACTACAGTGAAATTTTGGCTCCATCTGTCACTCAGACATACAGCTTTTGTATTGCAGGTGAAAAGGAAAAAAAGCAAACAGTATTTCTTGAAAATAAGCAGCTGATAAGAGTACTTAAAACAGGGGGAAAAAGTGTTTACACATGAGATCTGACCTTGGGAGGTAGTAAAAAAAAAACCCTACAGCCATACCTCTCAAATATTGTACAATTTAGTCTGTATGCAAATGTAAAGACAAATGTTAGATCTTGTATGTGATAAGAAAAGACAATGCTATTTCTTTTCAACTGCAATTCTGTCTGAGCGATTTTTGTACGGTATCAGCATGCTGGCAGTGAGAGCAGGCAGAAAGCACAAGTTGATCATGAATCAAAACACGATTTAGTTGTGCTGGGCTCCTTAGCTGAAAAAACAAAGCAAAACTAAACCAAAGACCTCAGTTTAATCCTAAAATGAGAGCTGCTGCTCCCACCTCCAGTGTAATACACCTGAACAAGGAAAAGACAGAAAGCATTCCTACTTTGGGTTTGCCAACCTAGGCAGTAAATTCTTTGTAACCACTGTTCAGATTAAACAGCCATCTAGATTTAGTCTCTGCTCAGAAAAGCAGACGGCAAAAACTGCCACAGGAGGGTGTTAACATTCTTTTTCTTCATTGCTAGAAAACACATTTGTGTCAGGGATACAGGAAGCCAGCCACTGTTTCATAAAGTGAACATATATTTGCTATTTGGAAATTATAAACTGAATATAAAAAGTCATTAAGTCAAATTGGTATACACAGGCTAGGAACGTATGCAAAGCACCACGAACAAACACTTTCATTCTCTGAGAAACTGAGTGATAGTAGCCTGCAATGAACTTGTATTTCATTCTCTAATAACATTAAAAGGTACAGAAACTGTAATCAGAAAGATGGAGCTGAGTATTGCATAAACAATGAGGAGCAGCAGGATTCAGTTTTAAATCTGCTGCAATACAAATCATAAGCACCTGTTTAGAACAGCACTGAATCATCACTGAAATTATATGACCCAGCAGTCAAAAGAAAAGAAAAATGTTATTAGCAGTTGTGTACTTCCCTTTGCAAGAAACCCTGCATAAGCAATAGCTGCATGATTTAAAAGTAAAAATAAATAGATAAATGAATAAACCACCTCGTACAATTTTGGCAGACCTAAAATACAAAGATAAAAATTGTCTTACCATAAGTTGCACGAAGCATTTTCCTAAACTTAAAGTGGAGCAAACTGTTAGGACTTAATTAGAAAACCTTGGTACTTTTGAAAAGGTTTTTACTATGTGTTTTACAAAGCTTAAATCTGTTTTTCAAAGCAATTCAAATGCTCGGGTGTTCCTGAAAGTTTGCCTTGAGATTTTTTTAATGTACCAGTATGATCTGCAATGACCAGTTACCACACACACGAACATATTCATACAATTCAAACCAGCTCAGTCACAAAAAATTCTAGCTGACTGCACCATTTAAGAACTTGCTAGGGCTCTCTGGGGCATACTAAGATTTCACATGTAAACACTATATATGCTTCACAAAGGTCACAAAGCAGTCATAAATTTCAAATGACAGCATTGCACTCTTGGCACTTCAGAGCTGCAAGTTATTCATCTGCAAGTAATACATATCTTTTAACGTAAAACAATCAGATTACAATTTATCTGCTATGTCTCCAGCTACACAGATTTTTAAACTCTATACTTAAAAAAATGGCATTACCCATGGGAAACCTTATAACTTCATAATATCCAGGAGCTTCTGTTTTCTTCACAGGTTCCATGAAGGGCCAAGCGCTTTGATGGCTCTTTGGTAAAGAAAAAAGTAAGGTATCTAATATGGAAACTCTATATTGCAAATCACTTAAAAATCTTTACAGAAGGTAAACTAGAACTAGCACTCACCTTCACCTGCTGCAGGATGGTTTTTAATGTGCTGTAAAGTTGATCTGGATCCTTGGGCTCCTTACTTGAAAGAAAATATGAACACAAAAAGATTAGCTTGAATTCCTTATCCTAATTCCTATTATGTGCATCTTACCTAATAGCAACTCCAAAGTTTCAAGCGTTTAATGGAAGAAGTAAAATTTTAAAAAAACCCACAACTAAAATCCAACTCTCCCCCGCCCCCCCAAAAAAAAAACCAAAACCCAAACCCACTTAAGAACTTATCCCTTGAAGACTATTTACCCATCTTCCAATGGATGGAAGGTAACATCAAATGACATTGTCTAAAGACAAGAAATCTCCAAACTGCTTTATCATTTTACTCTGTACAGCACTTACCCTCTTTCTTTTCCGCTTGGTTTCCAGCCCGTCTCTCCTGTACACCAACAACATGAGAGATTACATGGGAACTACAGTAGGTCAGAACATTAACTGAATTACTGCAACTCTAAAAAGATAAGCCATTTCAGCACTGCTGCAAGTAAAATGGGTTTGTTTTAATAAAAGCTATTCCTAATAAATAACACAACCATCTAGCCTACAGCCCCATTCAATTTCCTCTTCCTCTAGACTGCTGAAAAGATTCTGAAATATTCCTACATGCAACACACATTTTTTCAATAGTTCAATATATATTTTACCATAACCTCTGTCAAGAATAATGATGTCAAAGTTATTCAATTTGATTCCCTAGCGACAGAGAATAAATTTCTGGAAAGGACAGTTCAAAAAAATCCCGCAAAAGATGATACTTAAATGTTCTAGTTCTGTTTTGTCCTTTAAGTCCATGTTTAGCACAGAACACATCCTTGTACAGGAGTGCAGTGCTTAACAGTGGTGCCAAAGGGAAATTGCTGACTACACCACAGTAATACAAATCAAAGAGGGATCACATCTAAATAATATTACACACATAAAAGAGCATCAGCCTGGGATGCCTCGGGAAAGTCTCAAAGATAGCAATTGTACTGGAAACACAACAATCTTCATAGAAATCAAATCAACAGACCAAAATAATTACATTATAATAAAAAATAAATATGTGACATTAGTATTTTCAGTCTTGGACCTTTCTTGGGCTGTTCTGCTTCTGTTCTACATTAAAAGAGGTTGATACGTACTAATTCCAGGAATGCTTTCTATAGGAATCTGTCGTACTCCATCTTTGAAGCAAGAAAGGCCAGGATAAACTTTTCGTATCTGAGCTTGCTTCCTTTCTATGAGCTTTTTAATTATCTGTAATAAAGCAGCAGAGAAAACAAAAAATAATTGCTTTGCTCAAAAGTAACCCAGAGGATTAATGCAAAACTGTGATGAACACAAACATTCTTGCTTCCTGATCTTACGGTCCTTATAGATCCCCTGAAGCTGGTAACAGGAGTGAGCTACCTGGCCAAACACTGCTTCTGCAGATGAGACTATGAAGTCTCTCAGCTGCCTATTTAGGCACAAATGTGGAAGAAAAGGAGTCACTGCTTGCCATATTGATCACAAACTGCAGAACTCCTGGGAAGGTGGCAGCAGGGGTAAGGAAGGAAGTTTCCCAGAAGCAAATTAGGGAACTGGCTCCAATTCTACCAGCTGGTGCTACTGAACTGCTTCAGCACAGCCTGGGAAGAAATTTCAAGGCACACACTGAATGCGCATATTTCAATGCACATTCCATAATTTTAGAAATACCTGTTAATTTTGAAGTTTCCATATAACTGTAGGGGTTGCTTAGATATCAGTCAGAGATACTCTTACTGAAGATTTTCTCTCAAGAAAATCAGGATGATGCCGTTCTTTGGAACCCATATTCTACTTTGCTGGTAAATGCCAGAATAGGCTTTTGCAATTCTGGGATATACTCTGTTCTGCTTTGCAATCTCATTACCTCAATTCTAAATAATTTGCTTTGGTGCTCTTGTTACACCCTTAGACTCTTACTAAGCTTTGTGTGTCCTGAATATGTCACTTTCAAAATGGCCCACTTCATATCCGGGAGTAAATAAACGTGCAGCCATTCAGAACACCACAGTTTGAGAAACTATTTTCTTCGGAAATAATAAAGATGGATTTATTTTTATTTTTTAAGGACATTCACTCCCCCACACATAGTATTTCCTCTCAAAGAGGAGGAAAAGAAAAAAATCAGATTTTTAATAGAGGTTACAAACATTAAGAAAAATACAGTATAAACCAGCACCATGGCCAGATTCCAGTTTAATGTCAAAATACTTTCAAATGAATTGTCAAATCCACCTTAAACCCTTCTTATAATTTAGGAACTAGTGGCTCTTCCTGATTAAAACAAGCTGTTCAATCAGTAACAGTGATTACTCACAAGTCAGCAGGTCACAATGCTTTGCATAAAGGGATTTTTTCATATTTTTCAGAATGACTGCAGATGAGCTACAAACCAGGCAGTGCAAACTCACCAATGGCAGTCTGTGACAGGTACCCAGTGTCAGGTGACATGGTCTTAGCAACTATAGGCATATACTCTTATTCTTTAAATAAAAGATTAGATCCCATGAAAAGCTTCTCTTCTAAAAAGACAGGACTAGAAAAGTCTGATGTCCTGTACTGGCCAATACCAGCAGCAAACCAAATCAGTCCATTATCCATCCTGTCAACACTCAAAATTCTACTTATGTCCATAAATCATCTTCATTGCTTTTGATCTGTGCAGACATGTGAACACTCCTCAAAGATGCAGACTGTGAGGGCTATTTCTAAATTTCTTTCAAACAGAGAGACTAAAAATCCCAGTCTCTGTTTATCAAACAAGCAATCGCAAGCTGCAGTTCCAAAGGTGTATACATTTCTTCTCAGAGAAGATACAACAGCAATCACAGATCAGCGTATAATAACAGCTTGCTTTCTAACAGTGGTTGACATGAGATGTCTGAGGACCGAGGCATTTTATCTCTAAGTGGAGTGTCTCCAAGTGTTTTGGAACAAAATGGACACCCCACCAAATAAGAGAGTGAAGAATGGAAAATACCATATTCTAATAAAGCAGTCCCAGAGCCACAATCTTAAAAACTAACTTAAGTTTTTGGAAGTGACATGTTGATGGTTTGGGCCTAGAACTGTATTGCTGCAGTTAAGCAGGCCTGAGATGTAACAGGCTAAAAGAGACATGTCTACTATCTGCCCACCCTGACAACATCCTATCCCTGAGGGAAAGGTGACATGGTCCAGCAGCAGACTGGGATCTCAAGAGTAACCCAATCAAGTAGAAATGAAAGGGAAAAAATTATGATCTATATTGTATGGACCTATGAAAAATGTCCCAATGAGTGAAGTTAAGAAACCTTGTAAACTAAATGTATGGCACTCAGATATTGCCTTTCTTTCTGCACACATAGGCCAAATAGATCTATTGGAAGGAAAATGATTGTTCCATAAAGAAGAATTTTAACAAAATAAAAAGTAATGAGATTTGACCAACCTTGAAAAAACAAGTTATCCTCGTAATCTGTATTTCTTTAAAAACCCAGGAAGGTATTTAAAAATAACAGGAAACATATTTTTTGATAATAGACTGCCCTATTATATGAAATATTATTATGGACTAAATAAAGAACATCCCACATGAACTCCAAAGAGTGACTGTCTGGAATTTAAGGGAGCCCACTCTTGATTCGTATGATCAAACACCAGCACTATCCTCTTTCTTTCAAGTAAAATACAGGACCAGCAATACAAACATTCTATTCAAAAGTCACGCTACTGAATACAGCTGTCAGGGGGTGGAGGGGAGAAAAAAAATTCAGACAGCTGCAGAACAAATCAGTCTCATAAGATTTTGCTTAGTTATGATCTACAACAAAACAGCTATGAAATACTCAAAATATCAGTACTTTTCAACACTTCCATTATCATAAAGTTAGTAAGGTAGAATTTAACACTTCAATTGCAAAATTATGGCACTGGGACTTGAATGAAAGGATTATTCTAACTAATAAAAGTATACATTCCAATGTTTTAACACCAAAGCAAAGAAGAGAGCTAATCTGTCACTCACTGAACTGTTTCTAGCCATCTGAATAGACCAGCATGTTCAGTGTTTCATTTCAGCCTTTACCTCTTTTTGCTTTTTAATGATGACAGAAAATTCTGTGTAGGGGATCCTTGGATTTAATTCACATCCCATTAATGTGGCACCCTCATAATCCTTGATGTAGCCAACATATTTTGCTTTTGGTACTTTAATATCTTTGGAGAAACCCTGAAGAAGAAAAAAACTCAAGTTGTCATGATGCCATTTTCCTTTTATGTTGCTTTTAACTGAAATGCTATAATTACTTAGAACCAAATTCATCATAATGTTAAAATACAGACAAAATGATAGAAAGAGTTACAGACCACGGTTCACAGTGTTGTAAACACCTTCTCATGAGAGTCACTTGATAGAAGAATAATTAATGGCTTATAAGTATAGGAAAAGAAGGGACATAGGGGAGACAAAGAGATGGAGGAAAAGATTTTTACTGTGGACAAATCTACTCAAATTTTTTTTCAAATTCATTTTAATATTAAAGGATGCCAGTCCTGTAGTCATTAGTCAAGGAAAGTTCTTGTTGAAGTCCATGAGATGACAGTAACTTTATAGCCAGAAAGAAGTTTATTTTTTTTTTTACTTTTCTATTTCAAATGAAAAAAAAAAAATAACAAATCCTATTAAAAGTTCCAAACTTACACTACAGTCTTCATACAGTTCAAAAGTTAATTGAAAAACAAACCCACAAAAGCATTAACCAAGACAATAAAAAGCAGTGTTGGACTCTCACTTTCGCTGCATTTTATTCTTTTGTTGTATCAGTGAAACCTCAGTAAAAATCAGGAACCCAACCAGGAGTTCTGCCTCACAGCTTACCATCAAAGGCTTCAGACTTACATGGAGACTGAGCACCTTCAAACTGGGGAAGGGACATTTCAGATGGGAAAAGACACTGTCTGCACAGACAGCAGTATCACTAGCCCAGCTTTTATTCATTTTGAATGTGTGGAGAGTGAATTATATCAGGTTTATATGTAGAATCATAGAACAGCTGAGGTTGGAAGGGACTTGGGGAGGTCATCTAGCCCCACCCCTGCTCAGAGCAGGCCTCACCAGATCTGGTTGCTCAAGGTCCAGTCTCAAAGACTGCCAAGGACAGAAGTTCCACAACCTGTCTGGGCAACATTTTCCAGTATTTCACCACCCTCAGAACAGGAAGAAGAAAAAAAAAATCCTTCTACCTAATTGCAATTTTCCATTATACAAGTTGTGTCCATTGCCTCTAATCCTATTGCTGTACATCTCTGAGAACAGTTTGACTCCGTCTTCACTCTATTGTCTGACCAGATAGTTGACACCTGTTTAATCTATCAAATCTATTTGACAGATTAGACATCGCAATCTTTCCTGAACTTGAACCTCATGTTTCAAATCAGGAAGAGCTGTGAGCACAGGTCAGGTAAGTTTTAGTCTGCTGCAGGTATGTCGTGTCCTTCTTTACACTTCTAGAATCAGGGAAGGAATTGAATGAATGAAGAAGCAGCCAGCCCATATTCAACTGGTTTTTAGACTTGACAAATTATAGGCTATACTGCGCACCTATATGCAGATTACGCCATCAAAATAAAATGCATTATAAGCCAATATCATTACACAAGATGAACACAGAGCATATTTTGTAGATAAAAAATACACACATAAAATTGCACTATGCATTTTATCCACCTACTTTGTTGCATCTAGTTGTTTAGTTCACCACTGCTAGATGGTAACTTCTTGCACCAAGTAACTTCTCACATTGACTTACTTGTTTTTTGAAGTAGCCTATAGCATATTCATCTGCATATGTGAGGAAGTTGAGAATGTTGTGTTTGATGTGGTACTCCTTCAGATGGTTCATTAGGTGAGTCCCATAACCCTGTGTGAAACATACGAGGAAAAAGCCATTACAAAGCCCTTAGGGATTGTGCGTGTTGGAAACTGTAGATCGAGGGTTGTTACAGACTGGTTTTAAAAATGCAGTCTTTCCTCTAAATCCTGTTTTAAAGATTTTCTGTGAGGTGCACTGCAGATCAAGCCGTTTTCAGCCTTGTAAGGTTATCTTTGTGATGCAACAGGGAACACAAAATATCACAGCTTCTATTGTCTGATTCACTTTTAATCTAAGAGACCAAAGACTCTCTCTGGGGGTAAAGCATAACTCTAAAGAGGCATGCATCTGGAAATCGCAATTCAAGGCGCACACACTATTTTTTTCCTTTTAAGTTAGATTTCAACTACTAATAGTTAAATGTTTCACCAATAGCAAAACTACATATATTGTAATAATAGGGCATCCTTTCTTAGCCATATAATTTCAAAACTGCAAAGCAGTAGGAATAACAAAGTGATTCCTCCTAGAGGAACATGTTCTGAGATGTGAGCTCTGTTTTACTGTGTTCTGTGCCCCTGTAGCAGAAACAGCCTCTGTCTCAAAGGATTTATAATCTGAATTTATCATAGGGCATAAAAGGGAATAGTGAAAGTTATTACCCTAATAAGCAGCATAAAATTTTTGAGTGCACAATCAAATAAACAGCTATGCCTTCTGACTGCACACAGGAATAATTTCCATTCAACCCCAAAGTAAACAAAAGGTTCCATTTATTCACATTTCCAAGTAAGCTACAGTCTCCCCCTTCTGCTGTGAGATGAAGAAATGTAAAATACACAGGAAAGCCTGTAATAATGTGTTGTTCCTGCATATGTTCCAATTTCAACATCACGGAGAATAACTGGACATTTACAGAAATATACATGGAATAATTTCGGGCACTCTGTTCTTGAAAACTGGGGAAATTTTGAATTATGTACATAAGGCAGAAAAAATAAATTAGAAAATACATATTTCTCCTTTAATTCACAATTTAATAGCCTCAAACATGGAAACAGACAGACAAAAGCAAGTTAGCTAAGTGCTGAAGCTCAAAATAAAAAAATTTAGTAGTAACACATTGTCTTTAAAATCCTTCTAATCTAGGTACAAAATCTGTGCATTAGTCCTTCCTTTCCAGCTAGTGTTTGGAGCATCTCGTATTCAGACCTCATATTTGAAATTAAGACCTCATATATGTAAAAATAAGTACTTCTGAATTTGAGGAAGCTCTTAAATTGTTAAAGTGGCACACATCATGCATGACATCAAATACAAAGAAACAGTTTGACAACTGATGACATGTTAAGTGGCACAGAGTTTCTTAGAATTCAGAAGTGCTGAAGATAACGAAGAGACTTTCTGATTGCAAATTTGAGTTCTCAAATTCTTTGAAGACAACAAGTACCAAAATTTTTACTGAAAAATGTTTTCCTTAAATGCAAGCTAGCAGTATACGAACTCTCCAAGTTCCTCACTTCCTTTCTCATCAGCAGGGTAAATGGAACAGCATCCGAGAGACTGACATTTTATTTACACCTGAAACACTCCAATTCATTCCAGTAATTCTAGAGCATCTCATCGGTGACAAAAAATGTCAGCTTTGTGTCTCAAAGGAATTTCAGCAATTATTATGACAATTACTTCAAACATTTTCTGCTGACCTATTACTTTTATAACCCTCCCAAGATTTATTCACTCTCCCAAGCACTTGCCAAAGTCTAACAATCTTAAAAGAAACAAAGCCATGAACAGTAAAATCTAAAATAATTTCGTAACATGGGATCAAACTATCTCAAAAACAATCCAACTTTTAAATATCATACATAAAGGAAAACAGCACCCATATTTCTTATTCCAGCCCCAAACTGAATTAAAAGAGGAATTTATTTTTCCAAAGAGTAGGCAGTTCACCCATGTGTGAACATTTAGTTTTCCTCAGTTACCTGCTGGTAGGGGTCACTGTACTCAGATAGCAATGTGAGAAGGCAGATTTTCAGAAACAGTCAACTGATACAGCAAGGCACCCAGAGTGTAACAGAAGAAACTGTATATTATGCGTGCATATGCAACCTAGGAGGCACTCTGAGAGGTCAGATTTATTTGCTCTGTTATATTCTGAAAGGTTATTCCGAGGGAATCTCAACACACCTTTGGCAGCCTAAGTTGGGTAGTGCAGTTAGTTGTTTTAGTAGAAGGAAACCACCTTTTACGAATTAGTCAAGCTTAGAGTAGACATAACTTAAGCACATTCCCTTATTGTTTGCACTTGCTAAAACACTTTTGGTACTTTTATGACAGGCCACTGCTAAGTGCCAGGGAACGTTCTTCTCTAACACTAGAGCTGAATAAAATCAAATATCCCCCAAGTACTAACAGCTGTCACAGGCTTTCAATCCCACTTTGTTACCCCTCCACGCCCAGAGCTCGTCCCTTCAAAACAGGGCACACAATTTCTGTGTGCTCAACTGCCACAAACTCTGAATTAACCCACAACTCAGCTCTAACAGTTTAAACTGAAAAACAAAGCTACAGCACCATCTAAAGGCAAAATCCCAAAACAAATGGTCATAGTAAGAGCTACTGTAGTCCCTGAGAAAGCCTGAGGAATCTCCTGTATTCATAGTGCTCTATATTCTTTCAAAACAGCCGCTAATTCTAAACACTCAAAGAACACTTTGTGAAATGAACTCAAAAAAGAGTTTATAGAATAGCTTGTGTGCTTATTTTGAAATGCAAAACTACACCTAAGCTTTTTGACAGAAATCATGTTAACGCCAAAAAGTGAAGAGAAATTACTGTCACACACAAGCAAGACTTATTTCAGTCAACCATGAGGTGTTAAACTACACTGAGAGGCAATTCTGGAAGAGAGAAGTGTGAATAGTCCAAGAACGGGAGACTACTAACCACTATAAGACTTTTTTTATTACAAGTAATCCTACTATTTTTTATTACAAGTAATCCTACTTTTTTTTATTACAAGTAATCCTATTATTATGATGATGATTCTAAATCTGCACATTTGTTTAGTTTTTGTTTAGTACATTCAGAATCACTGTATCTTTCAAATTATATTCCTGTTCAGCAACTCAGCAGTATATTCAATGTGACTAACAAAATTAGGAGCATATGCAGTGGTGAATGGAACTCAAATACACTAAATAAACTCTACTAGTGAATTATTTTTACCTTGACTTGCTCATTGGAAGTCACAGCACAGAAAACAATCTCCGTAAATCCTTGGGAGGGGAACATCCGGAAGCAGATACCACCAATAACACGACCATCTTTTATTAATGCGAGGGTCTTGTGTTTCCTGAGTAGACAAAAATAACAGTCACTTTAATTCATGTACATAGTACATAAAGTGCCATTAGCCTCCTTTTTCCACAAACTTGATTAACTTCTTTCCATTATGCTAATACAATTGTATATGCCTCTGTTAAATTAGCTGCTTGTACCTACAGAAGAGTTGCTATTTTAACATCATGCTTTGAATTTACCATAAAATTCATCATTCATGCAGCAAGGTCCAGACCTTGCCAAGTACTCCTAGATACCAGGGTAATGCCCAATAAATGAGAGTTGTATTGCTTTCATTGAATTTCATTTCATTGCTGACAGTTATGCCATGGCACAGTTCTCAGGATGATTTTACCCTGACTAAATTAGAAATTAATGGAGTTACAGGACAGTAAGTCCTTTCTAATGGATTCCTGTTTCCTTGCATGCACTCTCTATAGCTAAGCTGTCAGTTTCAAATGCAGCTGATGAAGCAAGAAATGATATTTCATATTTCTAATCATGTGCTCTTAGTGGAATCAAGACCAGCATAAACATCCACTTCTGTTGCACTTCCATTGACTGCCAGGAAACACGTAACAAGGTGTAATCTGAACTCTTGTGTCAAGGACTAAGAATTTTAGCGTAACCCTCAAGGTCTGGAAAGATTTATACTGCACCTGTTCTCCAGATTATTCAATACATGGTATCATATAAATTGTATAAACAATACAGTAAATTTATAGAAGATATATTTCTGGGGGAAGGGTTGGTGCCAAAAGTGAGTCCCTGTCAAAAAAAGCTAATCTAAAGAATAGTTATATTTTATGTGCCACCATTGAAGGAGATTTTTTACATTTTATATATTCTTCTTTTTGTGTACTTATTTTGGTGGAATTACAGCAGCAATGTAGTAGCTTGAGATTTTGTTTCCTCATGCTTGAGTTGTTTAAGCAACAAGATTCAGTAAGGATGGGCACTTTGGAAATAAGAACATTAGAGACGATCAGTAAGGTAATAGTTGAAGTAAATTTGGGAAGAGCACTGTTGGACTCCAGTCTCTCGTACTTGATGTAGGTTTGTGTGTACCCACTACTCAGTGGAGGTCCCCAGAGTGTGTCCCTGGAGATTCATGGCAGATGCTGGGGTTCTCTGAGCTGCCCAGGCAACATGCTTCACTTCCTTTGGGTCAATTGTTCGCCACAGGTACATAAAGGAGGGCATTTTCTTGCTGTAGCAATAACCATACCTCTTCCTCAAGCACAGATATCTATACTGAAGAGCACTTAAACCACCAACAGTTCCTCTCAGCCTACTAGAAGAATCTTTCCCAATAAGGGAGGACCGAGAGAAACATGGGAGAAGGCCATGGCTCAACGGCTCAACACCACTACTTCACAATTTTGCTTTGATGTTCAGTCACGAGGGAACCGTTCTTCTTCAACCAGTAGCTGCTGCTTGAGATCACAGCACTGCTAAGGCCCCTAAACTCAAACCAGAACGCGATGCTACCTCTCTCTCCCATCCGAGTGGTGCTTACACCCACATAGGAGAGGTAAGAGAGTCTGGACCGACGCTCGCCTTACGAGACAAGTGCTGTTCCCCTCTGAATAACCCAGGAGAAGGCCCCAAGATCAGTCTCCTGTGCCTGGGTACTGAAGCCCTGTCCAACAGTCCCCAGCACTGGGCTGTTTGTGCTTCAAGGACCGCACAGACTCAGCAGCAGCAATGTTTGCTGGCACCTAGAAAGTACCACTGAGGGAATGCTAGAGAGCCTACAAGCAGAGGAAATGGTTCCAGAAATATTTTCGTAACTGCTGCAGCTATGATACAGTGCACAAAGACAGAGGCTGATATTACCCGTGGTGGAGAAAGGCTCTTCCACAAACCAGGCTGTGTAGCTGGCTGCAGTCAGCTCAGTTAGAGCTCCTCAAAGTCTCTGCTGACATGCAGCAATGAGCCCACAGGCATCCTCCACTGTGACGTGCTGCTGTCAGCACAGCAAACCTCTAGACTATCCTTGGGCACGGATCCTTCAGAGGCTGACATTTTGGAAGAACATACTGGTTGAGAGGAAGTAGACTCTGCAGGAAACACTATGGTGGAAAAGTGAACACTTCTGAGGAGAACTTCCCCTTGTGCTAGAGCAGCTGAGGCACAATTCAGTCAGGACGCTAGGGTAGATGGAGGACCATGTGCAACTTGCAGATGCTGCTACAACCAATGTGTCTCTTTTAAAGTGCCTGCAGCATGGAGTTGCACCCAAAGCCAGGCAGGAAACCTGCACTGATAAAGCGAAAAGCAACGTGCTTGGGTGAGGAGTGATATCTCCCATGCTGACATGAATGATGCTGTTTTTCATAAATCCCACAAGCTCTTTTCATTTATAAACTTCAGTCTCTGCTGCCATTTGGTTCACGATGTCCACAGAGGATGGAGAAGCCTGCAAGTCACTATGGGCCTAGAAACGACTAATTAGCATCATAATTACTTTCTGACTTTCAGTTCTAACATTCAAAAGTACAAGATAGGTAGGAGCCTTCCCTGCAGGCCCATGTTCTTGTATTGGATTTGCACGGCAAGGTTTTGGTAGTGAGGGGGCTACAGGGGTGGCTTCTATGAGAAGCTGCTGGAAGCTTCCCCTGTGTCCAACAGAGCCAATGCCAGCCGGCTCCAAGACGGATGCACTGCTGGCCAAGGCTGAGCACATCAGTGACAGCGGCAATGCCTCTGTGATAACATATTTAAGAAGGGGAAAAAGTTGCTGTGCAACTGGGAATCTGCACCTGGAGAGAGGAGTGAGAATATGCAAGAGAAAACCCTGCAGCACCAAGGTCAGTGAAGTAGGAGGGGGAGGAGGTGTTCCAGGAGCCAGAGCAGAGATTCCCCTGCAGCCCGTGGTGAGGTGGCAGCTGTGCCCCTGCAGCCCACAGAGGTCAGCGGTGGAGCAGAGACCCACCTGCAGCCATGGAGGACCCCATGCTGGAGCAGGTGGCTGCACCCAAAGGAGGCCATGACTCCCTGGGAAGGCCACGCTGGAGCAGTCTGTTCCTTTTACTGCATCCCGCAGAAGGGTCCCACGCTGGAGCAGTGTGTGAAGAACTGCAGCCCCTGGGAAGGACTCATGTTGGACAAGTTCATGGAGGACTAATTCCCATAGGAGATACCCCACACTGGAGGAAGGGAAGAGTGTGAGGAGCCCTCCCCCTAAGAAGTTGAGCCCCGGAAGAAGGGAGGGGTGGGGGGGAAAGTGTTTTAAGAGTTAGTTTTTATTTCTCATTACCCTACTCTGATTTTCTTGGTAATAAATTAAATTAACTTCCCCAAGTCAAGTCTGTTTCACCTATGATGGTAACTGCTGAGTGATCTCTCTGTCCTTACCTCAGCCCATGAGCCTTTCGTTATATTTCTTCTCCCCTGTCCAGCTGAGGAGGAGGAGTGACAGAGCAGCTTTGGTGGGAACCTGGCATCCAGCCAGGGTCAGCCTACTGCAGTCCCACAAGAAGCCACTTGTGATCAATACAGTCACCAAGACAGTATTTGAGTACAATCCAATTAGATTGGCCAGGAGTTATGGCGGCTTGAAAAGACAGGAAAAGGGTGGCACGGGCAGAGCTGCCATCCACACCACCTCAGATGGCCACTTTCTACACTGCTGCCTGCAACCAGCGGTACTCACGGATCGAAGACCAAGCGCGTGATGTACTCCTTTGGCATTCGAGGCAGCTGATGGGAGAACACATTCTGCAAACCAACCAGCCACATCATGATCTTCTTGTTGGGCTTCTGGTTCAGGGAGTTGCCAACCACATGGAATTCGATCACCCCCCTGCGCTCCTCCAGCCTTGCCGCCTCGTCCCGGGCCGAGTGTGCCGAGAGGAAGTTGGTCTGTGTCACACAAAAGAGGAACAAAATCATGGAGATTTCACATCCTCTGATGGAACAGCCTTAAGGAACAAACAAATGAAACCCCCTCTTTTTTCCAAGCTACCTTTTTACAAAAATAGAGATGTCAATGATTTCAATTTTTTAGCAGAAGTCACACTATCAAATAAGCTGGATGTAAGTCTACAGTACAGTGTACAAAGGCTTATTCAAACTTCTTTCAGTAAAGATTAGGTAACAACAGTGATGGTTATGACTCAGCAAGTTGCAAAATCTCTCGGGGGACAGCACTCATCCAGCTGAAGCCTATGCCACTAAGTCTTCACATTTTCTTTAGTCTAGCCAGCTTGGACAAAAGTAGTGGATTCGCCCACACACTGCAAATCACGTATTTTGATGGCAGTGCAGGTAAAATAATATTTTTTTCATTTCAGTAGAGTTTTCCACTATCTATGCCACTATTGTAAGAGCCCAAAAAGAACATTTTAATTCCTACTGATTTTGCTGTTACATATGTAGCCATTGAATCCATACATTTGAAGGGAGATGAAATTAATACAATTTATTTAACTTTTGTTTTCAAGGTCATTTTACAACACCAGAAGATCTCTGCATGCACATACTATTTACTTTTTAGAGCAAAGTTTGGCTGCTGGGTTTCTAGTCACTGCCAGCCCCAACAGCCAGACTGGCATCAGACACAGTATATAGTTCGAGGAAGAAATGTAGGTGATTCCAAATCTTCAGCAGTCTGTTGCTAAACCTTGGCAAACAAGAACTGCTGGCAAAACACAGCCTGGCAAAGCGAACAGAAGGAGGAAAAGCCAGCCAAAAAAAAAAAAAAAAAGTGTGCAATTCTGTGCATGGCACAATTCTGCAATTCTGTTTGTTTTTCTCGTTCAGCAGAAAAAAAGAGCAACTGTGGAAGACAGAGCAAATAACTGTTTAGATCAGCCTTTCTGCACTAGACAGGTTTTAACTCTGGGTCTTTCATTCTGATGCAAGATTTAAAGCCCATTTACTTTGTCTTATGAGCTACATCTATGATTAACAACAAAAAGCATTCTCTGGAACTCTTCTGTAACAAAAGTACCTTGCAAAATAACCTGGGATCTACTTTTTTTTTTTTTTACTATCACTAGTTTCTGAGCCTCTTTGCAAACAGTACACAATGCATTAAAAAAACTGTAGAACTATTCTTCCTGTTAATGATGCATGTAATCCATATTTTTTGCTCATCTAATCATACCTTTTTAAAGTCTCGATTTTTCTTATTGACAGCATGATAAGTTTTGTGGACTTCTAGCTTATCACATTCTATCCACACCGAACATTTATTAAAAACAGACCATTTACAAACAGACCATTTTCAACACCAGGTCTATGTATTTCTCACCTCTGGCCCAAGCATGGCTGCAGGATCTGTAATTGTTGACATTACTTCATTGATTAACTCAATAGGAATGTCTCCTACAACCCTTGGTCTTTTTGAATCCTCCAGAGGATAGGGTTCATTATTTTTTCTCTTTTCCCCTTTAAAACAGAACCAGGACAAATTAGAAACCACCAAACTGTCACAGTCAAGCACTTCTGTTATATTCGTTAGTTTGCATGCCAAGGTTTGGGTTGCTTTTTTAATCCCTATTTAAAAAAAGGAGAAAGAGAAATAAATTACATACAAACAATACTTTTCATTGCTGCAATTTTGTCTTTGCACTGGGATATTCGCATGAAGAGGAATGAATATACCTCTCCTTCTCCTATACCTCTGTAAATTCACTGTGAAACTATTTGCTTTTCTTTTTGCTCCAACAACCTCTGTATTGAACCTCTGTGCTACTGTCTTGGAAAGTCAGTGCTCAATACGCATTATAGTGGATACTTTTGGGTAACATGAAAACCCATTTTGGGATTCACTGGAATTAAGTATCCATTACAGATTTATTTCACCCTTTTTGTAAACCAAGCAGCATGGACAGTCTGACACATCATACATACTTGACTTAGAAAGTCCATATAAAGTTTCCAAATCAAAATATACCATGTTAATTATTGACTGTCTTACTAACTGCAGACCAACATGTAACGTAGCAAAAGCAACTGATTAAAAAAAATCATGAAAGAAAAGTCCACTAAGGACTAGTACGTACAACAATACTGACAGGGCCAGCTGCTAGCTCAGGATTTATCCAAGCAGCAAACGGCCAAATACTAGGAAAGCGTACAAATAGGAATATCACTCCATGGGTTCCTTGTTCCTCTATTTTTTCCCTAAAGATCTGCTACAGTTCATTCTCAGAGCCAGGATGCAAAGTTTTGCCATTATGATCAGAACTTAGCTGGGAGATAACTGGTTGGGTTTTTGTTTTTTTCCCCAAAGGAAATTCCATTATAACTTTAAGATCTTTTTTTCTGAAACAACCAGATAGTTTAGGATCCACTATACCCACTATCTCACATATATTCTACAGATTGTTTTCCCACTGTTATAGCATTCTAAATATATGAGGATCAAACTGTTCACTCCCCTTTTCAGACTTTCAAGCAGTACAATTGTTTGGAATTCTATTGTTAACCCCCCTTCATTGTGGAAACAGTTTATTCCTATTCTTTATTTATTACTTTTTAAACAGTTATTCACATGTAAACGGACCATCCTTATTTCACAAGGGATTAATTTCTTGCTTTAAAACAGAATTTTTTGAAGCAATTTGAAAAAAAGCTTTCTGGATATCCAGGTGCACAAAACCCTTCCCAAATGCTCACCATTTCCTTCACAGATATGTACAATTCATGAGTTCTAGAAAAAGCACACTGAACTTTCACACATCACATTACTCACACACTTATTCATTCCATTCTGAATCAGTTTATTATTGTTTCTTCTAATTGCCTGAAATAGAAGACTTACAATTGACAGCTTTCTGAATCTCTTAGAACCCCTTTGAAAAAATAGTTTTGCAACTATGTGTTTCAAATTCTGTAGTGGTGAGAGCAATTCTAATGACACCTCAGCTGCACAATTTAATAATTAGTTTGTTAATTCCATATTTCTTTTCACACTCTCAAAAAAATAACGTTCTAGTCACTACTTACTGCTCATTTTGTTGATCTGTAATTAAAAAAAAAAAAAAAATCTACTGATTCCCACTTTTAAGACCATTTCCCAACTTGTCCCTCAAATAAAGCTACAGTTTAGGAACCTTAAGTTCCTCTGCAGCAAACACGGAGGCTAAGAATTCACTCAGCTTTTTCTACTTCCTTGAGGACTTATTTTACATGAGCTCCTGATCATCTCTCTGACCTACAAACTCTCTTGACAGGCTCACTAATCCTAAGGTGTTTGAGAAAGGATTTATTAGCACAATTTATGCATTCAAGAACTTTTCCCCCAAATCGCTTTATTTTTTAACCTGACCTCATTCAGGTTTTCAATCTAACCTGGTTGGTGTGTTTGTGCTTTTCTTTATTGCTCAAATATATTGAATTTCAGTACCTTGAAAGATTAAAAAAAAAAAAAAAAGCAACAGCCCCTTCTACTCTGTCTTTATTTAAACTGCTTTTTTTTCATGGCTCACGATACATATACTCCAAGTAAAGTGTTTTTCAACAACCTCTGACAGCAGCAGACCTCCCCCCATTTTAACTGAATTTAAATAACACATTTTTTTTTTCAAATATAGTTTCCATTTCTACTAGTTAAACATTACCATAGTGGAGAAAAAAATATGTGTGCATGTCTCTTAGTAAAAACACCTCCAGGTCACTATTGTAGAGTGAAGGCAATGGTCACCATACACTGCAACTCCTGATAACACTGACAGAAGCCCAAAAGCAAGTCTTCCTCTTCATTACCTAGGTTTGGGTCAAGGGCAGAAGAAACTTTGCAAGCAGGACTCATGTTCCCACTGCTGGGTTGCTCCAGAGACGAAGGACTTGCACTGTATGAAACAGATCTTGCAACAGGAAGAGGATTGATAACTGCAGTGGCATAAAAGACAAACACAAAAAAATGAGGACTGTTACGATGCTGACTGAAGGACTGTCACAACGAGGGGCCCAACTTCACACCCACCACCTGCCAAGTAACAGCTAACGCTGTGCAACAGAGCAACGCCACCAGTTCGCAAGCAGAGACATTAGAGCTTTATCTCAACATATTTTTCTACACTTCTACCTAACGAGGGACTGTACTACTGCTGGGTGACAGAGTTAGCTTTACTTCATTGCAAATACCAAGCTTTATTATTCTGCATTGCTGAGCACAAGCTAGGAGAACACACTTCCTTCACATACCTGCCAAAGCTGCTGGAGTTCAGCCTCATGAAAAGACTTTTTGTAGGGGTCTACTAAAAAGCAAAATCTCATCATTCAGACTCAGCTGTCCAGTTCCACAGTGTTCAAAGACTGGTTGGACAAATCAAACTCAATAAAAGGAGAAGTTGTTGCACCAGTTAAGAGGATGAAACTAATAGACCACAGACTATTTTTTTTTATTTTTTTTTTTTTTAAAACCCACTCATCCCAAATCATCCAGTTTTCATTTGTGTCAGGACTTTTGGCAGGCAGGTGAGGGGCTGAGGTGACAGCTCACAGTCTGGACACCTGCATGCCTTTATCCTGGTGTCACCACTAACAACAGCTCTTTGTGCCATATCATGCCAAGAATCCAGTGCTTAAGAGGTGCACATTAAAATGAAGCACTGCAGAAATTAACATGATAGAATGAACTCTGAGAGCAACATGATTTTAGAGTTGCAATGAACTTGTGCGTAAGGCATAATTCACCAGTTCATGGTGCAGACTAGGAATTTCTCACAAAAAAAAGCCTGTGTCCGTCACAGTGGAATTTCCCCACTACTCTAGGAAATTCACTATCAGATAAACTGATGACATCATGTTTTTGTCAACTGATAATCAACAATTCTTTCAAAATACTGAATCGTTACAAAATATTGAATTAAATACCTCTGGCCTTTGCTTCCAAAAATACTTAAAGTCAACCCCTGAGCTGCATAAATGGATTTTAAACACTTTTGAGCAGAAAGGAGAAGAGGAAACTGACTGAAAACCATCAGTCTCCCTGCAGTTTTAGGGATGACTTATACCTCAGTACCCGAACTGAGGAAAAATTAATAAAGCTACAGAATAGCCAATGAGGCACATGAATAAGAAATAAAGCAAGGAAAAACCACACAAAAACAAGAAAATCAAAGGCACGTGTACAAAGGCTATGGGACATCTGATGTGGAAGACCCCTAATCCCTACTGCTAGGGAATCAGAGGACTGGCATGGGTCCTCATGTGAGGGGAACACTGTCCACACAGCAGGTGACCCACGGCAGTCATTTGCCCACATTGAGCGCACTCGTGCAGCTTGAATTCTCAGGTTATTTGCCTCAGTACCCAGCCTGCTCCAATGGCACCTTCAGTGAGCTGGATCTCATCGTCAAAATGAGGGCTTTATATGAGGAAGCACCAGAGAGTCAGACACCTGTGCTTACTCAAGGCAGACTGATTTCGGTATAGCCTGCTATTTATAAAGCTGCATATCTAAGTCTCATTCTTTACAATTCATCCCTTGTACAGATTTATCTCTATATTCAGGTTCTCTCTAATCCATCACTAAATGCAAGCTACCTGTCTGGATTCCCAGCTGGCCAGTTCGGGAACTGGACACCATAAAATCCTGATCCCAAATGGGAGAATTCTGGCTGTACACTTCTTCTTCCAGCATTGACAGAAACCTAGGAACAAAACCAGGCGAAATATTAACTTAGTAGAATAATTCAAAACAGGTTCATTTTCAGAATAAGCATTTTCAAACTTTTTTAATTTAAAAAAGTTTTGATGATTCAGTAAGAAAATGCTGTTGGCCAATTCCTTTTTTTAAATAAACAAACACACACACAAAATCACAAGCCAGAGTAGGCTTTAAGTATCTTAATTCAGTAGAGTGCTTCCCCCTATTAAAATTTATCTTTGTTTATAAGCAATATTTATCTAATTTGCAAATGCAGAAAGAAACAGTTACAAAATACTTTTACAGAACAAAACTGCATTAACAAGAAAGCTATGAGTTGACAGATGCCAAGGTACTCATGTTATACAATGATGACAAAATATGTCTATTTTGATAAACCCGTGTTTTGTAGATATCCTTGCTGTCTGCCTCTTACAGATTTATAAAATCAGTGTTATTTATTAACAACGCTCTTTGGAAGATATTTTCATTCCTTTAAGTATGCTACTGTAACATTTAATTGCTTGTTTGTGCTTGCATAACAGTATTCTTAATCTTTCTTTGGTACACTTACAACAGTGTGATTGTAAACCTCTCAGTATTACATGTGAGAGAAATTACACAGATCAGACTATCCATCATCCCTGTCTTCACAGGGCTAATACATCAGTTCCCTCTCAGAACCAAGATAGTTGCTTATCCTACACTGCACAAAAAGGGTTTTTAGACCAGAAGTTGACACAGCACATTTTTACTCTCTAGAGTCATCTATATGTATAGAAACTGTCCAGCTGCAACCAACAGAACTGTTGAGTAAGACTTTCTTGAACAGGATAAGGATTTTCAGGATCAAGTCCTACTCTTGTATTTTAGATATAGGATATTTATACCTAAGCACTGCAATGTGAGGTTCTAGCTGCTCTGTATACAGCTGATAACGGCTAGAAAGTTTGTAACAGCTACTTGACCATTTGTGACAGAGCAAAAGCACAAATCAAACTTTAGCAAAGGCTTCCTTTACAGGCAGTACAGAGGTTGTGTGTTCAGACCCCGTGGTGACTATTTCCTAGGTACACACAGACATAACCTGTGGGTGCACCCTTTGGGAGCCCTGAAACCAGGCATCGGCTCAGTACTCTGAGCCGCAGCTCCTCTGCAGGGTTCGCTCTGCATAATGACAGCAGAAATGCTTCAGACAAGTACAGCGTGTAAGAGATTTAAAACACTATTCATATTTCCCACAGATCATCAGCAAACACTGCTTGTCTTTCTTTTTTTCCCCTAGCAGAATATTAAAAGGAACTGCAGTGACTAATAATGCTTTTCAAATTACTTTTCCAGGCTGTAAAAGGCAGTGGAAATATAGGGGCGTACACACATGTCCTTCCTCTGCAAATCTGCTCCTTGTATCAATGCGGTGTTGAATCCTTTTTTATACCTATTTCAGGGCCAGAACATAATCCTATTCCCAGATATACAGAAACATTCCTGTATCCATAACAGTCTACCCCAGAGACAGTTTACATTCTTCAAAATGGTAAAAGGCACTATTAATAATAATAGCAACAACAAATCCTCGCTCTGCCCAGCCTTGGAAAGCTCATGTTGTTTTTCATTCCCCTGAGCACTAACCCAACTCTAGCCACAGACAGTAGCTTATATAGAATCACGGAATCACAGAATGGTTTG